TTGGCCATTCCAAAACATTAACTTTCTTCTGCTTTAACCATTCTTTGGTTGTACAACTTGCATGTTTCAGGTCATTGTCTTGCTGCATGACCCACTTTCTCTTGAGCTTCAGTTCACAGCAGATACCCTGACATTTTCCTGTAGAATTTGCTGGTATAATTCATAGTTCCATCAATGATAGCAACCCACCCTGCTCTAGAGGCATCAAAGCAGGCCCAAACCATGATACTGCCACCACCACGTTTCACAGATGGGATAACGTTCTTATGTTGGAATGTAGTATTTGCCTTTTGCCAAATATAACACTTTTTATTCAAGCAAAAAAGTTCTATTTTGGTCTCATTTGTCCACAAAACATTCCTCCAATAGCCCTCTGGCTTATCTATGTGAGCTTTTGCAAACTGTAGATGGGCAGCAACATTCTTTTTGGAGAGTAGTGGCTTTTTCCTTGCCACCCTGCCATGCACACCATTGTTGTTCAGTGTTCTCCTGATGGTGATCTCATGAACATTTGCCAACACAAGAGAAGCCTTTAGTTCCTTAGACATTACCCTGGGATTCTTTGAGACCTCCCAGAGTATTACACACCTTGCTCTTGTTGTGATCTTGGTTGGTCGACCACTACTGAGGAAAGCAAAATGGAATTGAATTACCTCCATTTGTATACAGTCTGCCTGACAGTGGACTGGTGGAATCCAAATTCTTTGGAAATAGTTTTGTAACCTTTTCAAGCTTGGTGAGGATCAACAACTATTTTTTGGAGGTCCTCAGAAATCTCCTTGGTTCAAGCCATGACACACGTCCACATATCTGAGTTGTGAAGATCAGACTTTGATACTGAATATCCAGAATTCTGTTCTTTAAATAAAGGAGGACCTCCCATATTCACACCTGATTATCATCCCATTGATTGAAGCACCTGACTGTAACTTCCCCTTCAAATGAATTGATAATCTTAGAGGTTCACATAACAACAAGTATAATATTTTTGACTCATCTGTTTAATTGGGTTCTCTTTATCTAGTTTTAGGACGTATGTGGAGAACAGATAACGTTTTAGGTCATATTTACTGTATGCAGAAATATTGAAAATTCAGAAGTGTTCACAAACTTTTAAGCACTCAGTGCTTACAGTCAGTGTTTCTCAACCTTGGCAACTTTAAGATGTGTGGACTTCAACCCCCAGAATTCCCCAGCCAGCATGGGGAATTGCTGCCTGGGGAATTCTGGGGATTGAAGTCCACACATCTTAAAGTTGCCAAGGTTGAGAAACACTGCTGCAGGTTCTGCAGGCCTGAAGTCAACTCCACTGATATAGATAACACAGCCTTGTTTAGAATGACAGGCTACATAGCACAGGGAGAAAGCAGGGGATTCTTAACTGAATCCACAAGTTGGATC